TTAAAATTCTATTTTGATTATTTAAGAGTTCTGTTCATTGTGTAAGGAAACAAAAATTATGTTCTAATTGATTTAAAAGTGTTCAGTACTGTATGAAATAATTTTACTGTATGAATGTACTGTACTAAGTACTGTATGAATAAATTTTGTATGAAATAATTTTAAATTCTATTTGATTTAAAAGAGTTCTGTATCTTAATCAATGAAAGAATTTTAGTTTTTATTTGATTTAAAAGAGTTTTAGGAAATATTAAGAGAGAGAAGACACTTGGAATTAAAATATTTTCTTACCTTTTTCAGGGCAATACAGTAGCTGTAAAGAGAGTTTACAAACAAAAGAAAATAGAGCTTACTCGATTAATTCTCATTGAATTGAAAAAGGTACCACAAACTTGTTCAAATAATTGTTCTTTGACAATTACAAGACAATTTTCCTTTGACGTTATTTACAATAATATGAGAAAGTTTTATTATTGGTAATGTTCTGTAACTAAATGGACTTTTCTTAACATTCAATTCCTAATATATTGTTTTTCATTTAAAAGAATGATATGTAATTAATATAAATGTAAAAAAATGCATCGCGGAATTAAGTCAAAAATTAAAAGTAAGGAGAAAATGAAGGCCCAACTACTATTAATAATCAACATTACAAATTTTAACATAAAGAATGGTGAATCATTAATGAAATTGCTAAAATATGTGAAAGTTTGGAGAAGAGCATTAATGTGCATTTAAGGATTTTAAACGTTAAGGAAGAAGGAAGGAAGGAACATAGAAGGAAGTTTTTTTCCTGTTTTTGCTAAAAAGGTGTTAAATGTCATAACAGTATGTAAATATACAGGAAGAGATTATATTATTAAATTTCTGTCGATTCCATCTGAAATAAATATTATACAATTACAAACTATTTTTATACTTATCAATAGATGCCAAATTTTGTTTATACTTTTTACTCGAAGTGTATTTTTTTATAAAAAATATTGATTTTCATTAATTATATTATATTTTGTTAATGTGTTTCTTACTAAAATTTTAATTATATAATTTTAAATCTATGTTGAGGAAACTCTTAGTTTTTAATAGAATCTTTGATTATAATTATACCCTAACATTTAAGAGATTTTCAATTTTGAAAGGAGGATGGATAGTTCCGAAAATTTATTGTTCATGGAATCAATACGGCCTTTTATGAAAACTCTTTTCTTAATATTGTTGTCAGTTGCAAAATAAAAGTCATTAATTAAAAAACCTTTACCTTAAAACTTTTAATCTAAATATTTAGATGCATTCATTCATCTACATCTGTTTTATAATAATAAATAATTTTTCATTATTTATTATTATAAAACAGATGTATTTGTCTGAAAATATACTAACTGTTCATAAAATGCAGTTTTATTTTTATTTTAAATAATTCGTAATTTATTTAAAATAACACATTAATGAGTAATTTAATTACAATTTAAATTAGAAATGATTTAATGAGTAACTAATGAGGATTATGGATTTAATGACATTAATGATTAATTTAAATTGGAAATGGTTTAATTTGGTGGTTGGTCTTTTAATGGTAATCTTTTCATATAAAGTATGATGCTATATTATTTGTACTGTAAATATATATAATGTATAGCATTTATGTATCAAATCTTGCTGTTTATATATTTTATTAAATAGTATGTAGCTGAAAATGAAGATAATAAAAAAAAGACTTATTTAATTTTTTTTTAATTTTGTAAATCTTTATTTATTTATTATAGATTCGAGAGGCCCAGCACCAAAATATTGCAAGCTTTATTGGTGCTTGTATTGATGCTCCGAATGTTGCTATACTGACAGAGTACTGCCCTAAAGGAAGTTTGCAAGTAGGTAAAATGTATATGGATATATAATGTATTAAGGTATTGCTCATTTTCGTTTATACTGCATCCAAAAAGTAAGATCAGATTTTAATTTCAATTTCCCAGGCTTATGGTATTTTATTTTTATTTCCTTTTTTAGGCTGTTGGCACTTTTCTTGACATCTGAGTTTGAGTTTCGCTTGGCTTTCTGAGGCCATAAAACTGATTCCGGCGATTTTTGAAATGTCTGAATTAACTGAGCAAAGAATTTGCATTCAATTTTTTTTGCGGAAACGTATATAATGTTGCAGAAGGCATTCGGTGAGCATTCCTATATTGGAAAGAAATGTTTAGAAATGGTGAAAACTGTTCAAAAAAAACAGAGAAGGCGTTGAAGATAAAGAGCTCTCTGGTCGACCACCAACCTCAACCGACGAAGTTCACGTCCAAAATATTAAAGATTTGGTGCTTGCAAACCGTCTATTTACAGTTAGAGACCTTGTTGATGATGTTGGAATTACAAAATTCCATTTTAAAAGCTATTTTGGCCCTCAAACGCATCAAATCTTGATTGGTACCTAAAGCACTGAATGCGCCAGCTCACATTGCATTGATTATTCGTGACTTTTTTGCCAAATATAAAACCCATATCGTTCCACAACCACCATAGTCACCTAATTTAGCATTGTGCTGCTTCCAGCTATTCCCTAAACTCAAAAGACCACTCTCGGTACATAGTTTTGAGTCGATTGAAGAGACATTTCAAAATTCGCCGGAATCAGTTTTAGCATCTCACAAAACAAGCGTAACTCAAGCACTAATGAATATTTTGATGTGAAATGTCACATCAACAAGGACATTTCAACAACATTTCAAGGACAGTGCCAACAACCTAAAAAAAAAAAAAATAATAAAATACCATATGCCTGGGAAATTTAATTTGAAAACTGGTCTTATTTTTTGGACACAGAAGTAAGCTTAAGAAATCCTTTTTACCCAGTTAAGAAATGAAACTATCAGTGACTATTCACTTTAAGCTTCACTGCTTGGAAGGTTTGACGTTTATGATTGTTCTTGGATCTCAGTAAAACTTTTTCTATTCTTTAAACTGTTTCTTTTATATCACCTAAACTGCCAAAATGATGAATGGTGTTTAGTGAAGTAAAATCTTTTTCTTTTTCGTCTGTAGGATGTTTTGAAAAATGAATCGCTCGATTTAGACTGGATGTTTCGATATTCATTAATCAACGATATTGTGAAGGTAAGGATAAAAATTCTATTGATATTTTTAAATGTTATTACATTTTTCCGATGCAAGGTATTTTGTATTAATATAAAAACAATTAATAATGCAATATTTTTGAGTCAAGTGAATTTAACTAATTAATGGCAATTAAATATAAAAATATTAATTTTTTAATGATATTTTCTTTAGAATTATATGATTTTTGCGCATTATGTCGTTTTAATTTTTTATCAAAGTGAACTGCTAAGAAATTAATGAAACTTTGATTTATTATGAATTTTATTTAAAATTTATTGTCCAAAAAGATTGTTTGCTAAAAAGGAAAAGCAATATTAATCAGACTGATTTGATTTATCCAGTTTAACTATTATGGTGATTCTAATTTAAATTTAATCATTTTGGTTAAACAAATTTTAAGTAAACTTAGCTCCAATATGTTGTAATTAAAATTTTATAAAAATTCAATATAACATATTAAATAATATAACTGCCATGGATGTTAAAACAAGATAAGCTCCAACAATAATCGTGGAGTTAAATGATAATAACTTAATTATACACTTAAAATATGCCTCAATAATATATAAGTACGATTTGTCAATTCTTGATTTCTCAAATTTTGTTATTTTAAATATGTATGTTTGTTGTTGTTGTTGTTTCTTATCCCACTTGGCTGGCCAAGCCCACAAGCCCATATGGACTCATGATTGAAGGGGAAGGAAGCAGCTTCTGTTGTGATGGAGCACCCGTAGGTAGAAGTCTGACTTTTGCTCCGTGACGCTCTTACAGTCATAGAAGACCGGGACCTACGGCTTAAAGTGGATTCCGAACCACTACAAACATCCATGGCACCGCCGGGATTCGAACCCGAAACCTGTGGCACCGAGCGCCAGAGCGCTAGACATTCGGCCATTCAGGTCCCAAATTTGCCAACGGCACGCAGTGTTCCCAGGTGGTCACCCACCCAAGTACTGACAGCGCCCAATGATGCTTAACTTCGGTGATCTAACGAGAACCGGTATATTCAGCATGGTACGGCCGTTGGTTAAAGTATATTATATTACAATAGGAAATGATATTGTACTAACTTGCTCATGCCATTTTTTGCATTAAAAATATTATGTTTAGATGAGGTGTTTCCAAATATTTTAGCTTAAGGGCCTCACTGACCTAGACCAAGTTAGACACAAAATCTAGCTTGTTCCTCATACCACGATAACATTGTTTTGAGTTACAAGCAAATTTTCTTTTCCAAAATAACGAGCAATTGAGGCATCCATAATGCGGAATGCGAGAAGGGAACTCTGCTCTGTTGGCAATTTTGGTTGGTACTTCAAGTACATGTTATGGCGGCAAAGATGCTATCTTGTACCGCAGTAATACAACACCGTCTTCTTCTTGGGAGAAGACGTGCCTTCATTTACCATTCGTAAAACATTCTGCTGTGCGATCATTTGTCTGGAAGTTGGAATACTTTCTACTGTTTTCGAATATGTTTGGAGAACTCGTCTTATAAATACAGGAGATAACCGAGATTTAAACAGTTTCAAATTTTGTGTTTTGAGTGATAAGTGCATTATTTTGATATGAAATTTTGCGGCCTTTTATGTGGATTTATATAAATATGTTGTTGTTGTTTCTTATCCCACTTGGCTGGCCAAGCCCACGAATCCATACGTGCTCATGATTGAAGGGGAAGGAAGCAGCTTCTGTTGTGATGGAGCACCCCGTAGGTAGAAGCCTGACTTTTGCTCCGTGACGCTCTTACAGTCATAGGAGACCAGGACCTACGGCTTAAAGTGGATTCCGAACCACTACAAACATCCATGGCACCGCCGGGATTCGAACCCGAAATGTGGTACCGAGCGCCAGAGCGCTAGACACTCGGCCATTCAGGTCCCAAATTTGCCAACGGCACGCAGTGTTCCCAGGTGGTCACCCACCCAAGTACTGACCGCGCCCAATGATGCTTGACTTCGGGGATCTAACGAGAAAATAATATGGAAAAGGAAAGGAAGATAGGGAGTGCAGAGGGCCTGAATGGTCGAGTGGCTAGCGCTCTGGCGCTCGGTACCACAGGATTCGGGTTTGAGTCCTGGCGGTGTCATGGATGTTTGTAGTGGTTCGGAATCCCCTTTAAACCGTAGGTCCCGGTCTGATATGATCGTGGAGCGTTGCGGGGGCAATATTACTCCACGTCCGTGACTTATCTTCAAGTTACACGCTCCCCCTGAGTAATGCAAAGTGAATAATGCCTGTGCAGCGCTTGCCTTAAGGCATCCAAGACCAAGCTGTCTAAGTGTTTGCCAGCTGCATTAGGACAAAAAAAATAGTGAGTGCAGAGCATTTAAAGATCAATAGGGATATCAATACATCATATATTGTAGGTTTTGGGGACAAATCTCATATTATTAATTACGGTTAAAATATTTAACGTAATTATATATGACAATTATTGTATTTCTTAATTGACCGTTATATTAAAAAAAGTTGATTAATATTTTGTATGATTTACTTACATTGAAATTTTTGCCATGTAGTTGAAATAAAATGTGTTCGTGATTGTCGCTGGCCCGCGTTTGCCGTAGTTTGTAGACCTATACGTTAGTTATATAGTTTCGGTTGTGTTAAGTATTATGTATTTAAAAATTTGTTCCTTCAAATAATTTTCTTCCATTATTACTGTTTCAGGGTCTAAGTTATATACATAATGGGGAAATGAGTACCCATGGGAGACTGAGATCTTCAAATTGCCTCGTGGACAGCCACTTTGTAGTCAAATTAACTGATTTCGGATTGCCATCTTTCCGTCATGCGGAATCGCTGGCCAACTGTGAAGAGAAAGACCAAAAAAGTACTTCTCTTCATTAAATTAATATAACAAAATATTTAATTAATATTAAATTATATAAGTACAATGTAAATTAAATTAATATAAAATGTAAAAATTATAAATTTAACAATTAATTAACTTAAAAAAACTTACTGTTTCAATTGCAAATTGCTGTTTGTGATCATAAATGTTGCATAAAATTATAAATTGATGTAGCAAATTAATGAGGTTGTACGGCGTGGGTCTTTTGAGCTGAACTCACACTTGTCCAATTTCCCCATTTCATCATACTTGCAAAATGTGATATGGAATGAATGAACTGGTTTTCTTGATAAAAATTACGTAAAAGAAATAAAATTAAATAAAAAGCTATTTGTAGAACAAAATACTAAACTTTTTGTATTTTCTTCCGTTAATAATTCACAACTCAGTGCTAGGACTCACTAGTATAAAGGTCATAAATTTCGAACCCTTCTGAGTGGGTGGCGGATATGAAAACAGGTAGATTTGATCGACATTACGCTCCCATTGAGAAATGGATTGAATAGGTGTTTTGCATTTTCGCAAATGCGATTTTCATGTGAAGGTAGCCATCCCGGAAATTACTCCGCTTTTTCTAGTGGGTGGAGAGTAAAACTCTACTTTCCAGTAAAGAAATTCTGGGTAATGTCGTACAAGTTATCAGTGAATTGATAAGTGGTCAACATCCAATAAACAATTTTTACGTTTAATAAAAGAGATAAAATCATACTATATGGATATACGCAAAAAATGAAGGAATAAACTTTAGTAATTTCAATTCGAGCTTTTATAATGATCCAAAATCATTATTGAGTTAGAGATATAGAAAAAGTACATCGATTCTCATTCTTATCTTAAATACACCAAAAGGTGCTACCAAATTTAAGTGAAAAGCAAATCAGAATAACTCATATTCATCATTTTATAAAATTTAACCCATGTGAATTTTCTATATCGGACCTGATGGCTTATTGGCTAGTGTTCTGGTCTTAGGTATCACAGGTTTCAAGTTCGAATCCTGGCTGCGTCATGGATGTTTGTTAGTGGTTAGGAATCCACATTAAACAATAGATCCGGTTTAATTAGCCCAAAGTGTGCACAAAATCATCGTAAAGTGACAAGACAAACTAAAACTGTTTCGGAATCTGCCAATAAGAGGACGGTCATGGTCCAACAATAAAGTGTCGGGGAGTTAGTCAATTAGAATTTTCTATATCTCTAACTCAATAAGAGTTAGAGATATAAAAAATTTATTTTGACACCAAATCTCAAATCCATTTGTCGATTTGAGATTTTAAATCATTATAAAAACGTCAAAATGAACTTATCACGTATTTTTCCGTGTTTGCATTTTTAAATATCCATAAAATATAATTTTATTATTCAATGTTTGTCTATTCTTGATATTTATTAGAAATACGAAATACAAATTATATTTATTACGTTAATCTATGAGTAATTTATTACTTTAAATTAACAGCAGAAAATAATTTTCTAGTTAGTACTTTACCTGTTAGATGTCCATGATTGAATACAATTTCGGTTTCTGAGAATAATCAGAAATGAATGTAGTATAGTTACTTATGCCAATGCGAGTACATGTAAGCAAGTGATTTGGACAGAAAGCTGAGCAAGCAAAATCCTTTGTCGAGGATTTTAGTTGCTTGAAATTGTAATAAAGTAATTAAAATATAATTATTTAATGAATGGAATCTTTTCAGAATTTTTGTGGAAAGCTCCAGAGCTGCTTCGTCTTCCCGTGTGTCCACCGCAAGGAACGACCAAAGGGGACGTGTACAGTTTCGGAATAATCCTCCAAGAGATCAGTCTGAGGGAAGAACCCTTCTACCCATACAGAGATTCGATGACAGTAGCTGGTGAGCGAGTACGGCCATTTAGTGATCTTGCATTTTAGTACACATAAGTTACTACTTGAATAGTTATGTTTTCAAATAATCTTAATATTTTCAACAACATTTAATGAAATAGTAAAATTATGTCAATAATGTAAATATTATTCATACATTATTTGCCAAGAAGCTATTTTTTCTCCTCAAAAATGGGTTAGATAAGATCTATACCGTAATTTTTCAAAATATTCTGTGGAAAGATATATTTCGAGAGTTAGTTGCTCATTGAACGTATCCCTAGGGGTTTAACAGTCAATAGCATTATATTTTCGTAGGAATTTAATGGTCAATAATATAATTCAAATTATTGATATTGAATTTACAGAAAACTCAAATTATAATGACAAATTTCCTTAAATGATTATTAATTTCTTTAATTCCTATTGTAATAGTTGTCCTCCAATCCCTACCTAAATCCTAAGGAAGCTCATAACACTCTATTTATTTTTGTGCAATTATTCTATTTACCTATCTCTCTCTCTCTCTCTATATATATATATATATATATATATATATACATCTTCATCTGCAATAGCGCTACAGACCCATGGTGGACCAAGTCTTTCCTCCAATAGTCAGATTCCGAAACATGAGATATTGAGATAGTGTTTTCTTTTTACTGGGGTAGAGTTGTCAGCCCTACACCCAAAGCTCTACAGTCTTATTAGACCGGGATTTACAGTTTAAAGTGTCTCCCAGAGCACTACAAGCATTCATGTATATCTATTTATCTATCTATCTATCTATCTATCACTAACAGATCCAGGAAATTAGGAAATTAAGCATATAATTTAATAATTTCTTATTACCTTTTTAGCTTCTGATTAATTAACAAATAGGATCTTTGAGGTTCTATATTAAAAATATAAATATTTATATATATTTTTAATATGATTATTAAAAGGAAAATATGCTAAATATAATTTTCCTTGGTGTAAATATTTTAATGTAGAAGCTATACTAAAAATAGATGGATCACTTTTTTGCTTATTTTTTTATGAAATTGTATCCTTATAGTTTTATTTTTAATTCTATACTTAGTTCAATTTGCTACAGTTAATTATTCACTTAATGAGATTAAAATTTTTGACTTTACATAATTTTGTGTCCTTTTTAATTACAACGAGACTGAACAAGTTCTAAAGCACTGCAGCCACCACTTTAATTCCTGTCTAGTAATAAGGGATCTTCCGGGCTTAAATGGATAGTCATTTCTGTACTTAATTAAAGCAAGTGAAACATAAATATTTGATTTAGACGTACGTGCTCAATTGCCTATTATGCAATGCAAATTCCTTCCAGTTATTCGTTGAACATTCTGCTTTGAATAACTATTTAAAGTTTATTGAATCCTTTGATAATTTTGCATTACATTCGAAGGCAGATCAGATTGAATACTTCAATGTTAAAATTATTAATTTACGAAGCTTTTTATGTTAACAAGTTAATTTTATGTTCGGAAATTTAGTCTAGAATGCAAAATAAGCACGGTATTTAGCGATGGTTATTATTATTAATAATAGACTTTTACAGTTTTTCTTATTTCTGATAGTAAATTTTCTAACAAATGTTAATTATGTTAGAGAAATTATACAAAAAGTTGACTAATTACAGTAAATCATTTTAGCCCATTTAAAGAAATATCACTTATGTTTAAATAGGAATATTATTTGTACTGTGTACAGACCAGAGTACTATGTCTTCTTCTACTTTTAAACATATGTTTAGAAGATAGTTTATTTTTCTGTCACGAAACATTTTGTCAATTTTTGATTGTAAGATACATTTTTAAGTTCCAGTTTTAAAAAAATGCCGAAAAAGGGTTTACACAGCGTGTAGCAGCAGTTAATAATGGCTACTACTATATATAAAGTTTACTGATTTTAGTGCATAATTCGCAGGTATATAGTAGAATAGGATGTTCTGTTGACTTACGTTCTATGTATTCAAAATGTTTACTATTTTTTTTATCAATATCATATAATTAATAGGCTTTTCAATTGATTTTTTTATTCGAACTCTTTTTTCCGATCATTTCAATCCCCTGAAAATCTACATTGCATATCAAACATTAAAAAAAATGTATTGCTGAGGTATAGTTTATTTTTTGTTACATATATAATGCTAACTTTTTCCAATGATTATAAATTTGAAAATAGACTAGTTATAATCGATAGTAAGAGTTTCCATTAAAACAAGTAATATAAAAAAGAAAATTTTAAAGTCAAT